CCCCCCCCCCCCCGACATTTTGCAGAGAACACCCAATTTCCATGAAATCTGTGCAATCAGGATTTGGGTAGCTCTCTAATCATAGTTAGGATCATATTTAGGATGCAAATGTAAAGAATCACATCTGTCATTGGCATTTTGGTGACAAAATATAACTCCTCTCCCCCACAAATGTGTGCAAAGATATAAGGTATGCATAAATGCACAGCTATACCTACTATATAGTAATTGAAAATTTAGGAGATGTTAAATTCAAACCCAACTTTTATGTTTACTTATATTTATGGAAATCCTGATCCTGTGTTCAAATGAGCTGGGCAAAGTCGAAACAAATGGTTTGCAAAATAAGTTAAGCAAAAGACTGCTCATATTTGGCAAATAGGTGTATAATTGTTTTCAGACTTAAGCTATTGTAATAAGGGAAGTGTACAGAAAACAAAACCCCATAAACTTTAGGCCAGAATATAATACAACTATACGGCGCAATGCCTGTCATGCATCCAGTCTTCCTGTGTGGTGGATTCTGTGGCATAGTTATTGCAGACATTATATCAAACTGAACCTCATAATGGATTTCTGATCCTTGCTTGTATTTCTTGAATGTCATAATCAGGTCTATTGTTTCATGCATTTGTAATGAAATGTAATTTCCCATAAGCAATTGTCTTGTTTTCCTTTAGATGTCGGCTTGCTATTGTAGTATTAAAGCAGGTTTATGTAATTAAATATTACAACACCAGAACCACTGCCACAGTTCTTACTGTACGTAAAATTGCTTAAGAACAGCATAACTAGAACTCTCAATAACTAGTTCATGATGTATCTTTTCTGGTTAAAGAGTTGTGCTGTAGGTCTGTGTATGTTGCAATGGAAGATTAAAATGTTGTGTGATGCAGAGTTCTTTGGTTAAAAAGGCACATGTTGTACTATTGTACAATAAATATGCAGGTCTATTTAACATGTAAGATGTGTGAATATTTTACAGTGCACAATGGGTTTTTTTGGCAATACAAGTGAAAGATGCTATATACAAATATAGTGAGGAGCCAATTAATCAATTATTTTAACACATACAAACCAGTGGGGGATTACAACATGTGTCTCACAGGAAGCAATCTCCCAAATTCATAGCTCTGGACATTGTGCCAGAACAGAATCCTTTATGCATTGCACAGTGTCTTACATTTTTTCCCACGCAACCTTTTTAGCCTCCTGGGTAGGAGCAAGATGCTCTGGACCTATCCAGGGGTTGTCCTGCGAGGGTGTATATGTATGAGTCTCTTCCCTAGTACTTCCACTCTTATTCCTTCCATTCACGTTCCCAGGATTGGTTGTCTGTTTATGCAGCTGGGTGGTACTACCACACCCCTCATAACTGCAGGCTCAGGGGTCAGGGCTTTCCCTTTAGTACTAGTGATGAAGTAAATACAATAAATTCAATAGAAACATCATCTTTGTGTAATATTTTCCCCCTTACATAGACACTGTCCTAGTAGCTGTTTATGAACTGGAAAACAGCATTGACCATTCCAGACCTTTTCTGAGCTGACAAGTAGAATGAATGGAAAATTAAACAAAACCCACAATATTTCTCTCAAGAACTGTGACTCATGTGGGAGAAGCTGCCAGGTCTCTCTCTGCTCCCCACAAAATCTTTTTAGTGGGTCTAATAGGTGTTGAATTCTCACATTTAATATAAATGCCCATAACCAGAAAGATATTGTTGAAGTAGAAAGGACTCAGAAAAGAGGGATATAAGAGTTTAAGGGTCTGCAGAAATGGCATTTAAGGACAGATTAAAAGGTCTAGCAACTCTGAGCCTGATTGTCTTTGGCACCTGAGCTTGCACCATCAAGAATAGCTTTCTGGCTACTGCCTAGTGCAATGAGATTTAGAGAGGCAGCTCTCTGGCCTCACCAACCCAGGCACCTTAGAAGACCCCACTCTGACAAATTCTATGGTTAATTTCATACTTATTATTAAATACTATTGATAAAATAGTTAATAATTTGGTCGCAAATTCAGCATTGATCAACTGTAGTAAACAAAGAAGGCACAAAACTATTTCCTCCCCTTTCCCTTCTGAGTATGTAGGATGCACTCCATGTTTTTGAGGTTTTTCTATAAGCATTAGGGCCAACACTAACTTTAGAGGGAATGAAAATTGAAGTTCTGATTTAATTCTACGCTTCCAGGAGCTAAGTGTTTTAAAAACACCAAATTGTATATACTTCAATAGAATTGCAAGAACCAGCAACATAGCTGTTTACCTTGACTAATAATTACAAGTAGAGATATCAGAGCTGAGTTGGAGGCCTTTCAGCACTGAACTCTTCTCAGCTCTTTTCCTTTACTTTGCATATAGATAGACCTAACTATTGAAGTGAAATCAGAGGATACTGATATACATTCTTCTGATGCAATCATCATGTCCGCATGATTCTGTAGCATAGCAAGACTGCTGTAACTTTTAATTCTGCTTTGTTCAGGGTAAAAGTTAAGGTGATTTAGATAACTGGTGGACGTAATAGATTATAACAGCTAATGAGTGCTCCTGAGCAAGAGTTGTTTCTTCCCTTCAAAGCAGCTAATATGTATGTTGGCCCATGCCCTTTGTCTGCAAGATACTGTATTTCAATATCCTTTATAACAATCCATACATAAGCCCTGTTTCGTATCCAGAATTAAATATGAGTAAATGAGGATAGTCGTCCTGTGTTCCTTACCATTGTATTAGTTTTGTGTTAAGATATCACAGATTGTTGCACTGAACGTGCCTGGTAGATGTTGACAGAGAAACTGCAGAATTTGGCTTTGGATAGAAAACATTTGGTGAATTTGGCACCTGGGAACGTATCGGAAACTGTTTGGCCTTATAAAATAAGCATGTTCTCTAGAGCTTTTTATAAATAAAATATTACAAGCTAATTGGGGCCCTAGAAAAACAGTGCAAAACAACATCTCTTTGCATTTAGAGCCTGATCTAAAGCCTTCTTACAAACTCCCACTGACTTCACTGGGATTGGTTCCCTCATGATGTAGCTCAGCCACAGTTTACCACAGCTCACAAGGCTGCACTAACAATAAATATGTTTCATTTTTTCTATATAGTAGATGAAAAATATTATAGACTTAAAGTTGTTTCACAAATGAATTTTTCCTTTCTCAGTGTATTTCTTTAGAGACAATAACCAAGGTCTTCCACCGGCTAATTGCATCACCGCTCAGTCAATCTGGGCATGTTGAGCAGACCTGGATAACTGTTTCTTGTGGTCACCATGAGACTTTCCAGTAAAATTCTATCCACAGTTATTACACAATTATGCACAACAATAACTTTGTACAGGA